GCCGCCGGCTCCAATGCTCTAGCCGCCGGTCAACCTCCCCCTCCTCCCCATCTCCACGTACCATCAAGACTTTCCTAAATTGGTTTGCATATTTTAGGTAACTCTATTAATTATTCAAATTCAAATTTATTTGAATTTGAAATAGTTATTTAATTTATAATCCTTATTTTAAGAAACTTGCTTAATCAAAGCCCATTTAAATTTTAAATTAAATTGGGATGATATCTTCATTCCCAAATTTAATTTATTATTTTTAGAAAGCATTGATTGCCTCCATAATTCTCTCCCCTCCCACTAATGCCGCCGGCCCCATTACTGAATTCTAAATTCATTTGAATTTTAAATTCAAACCAGAGAACATTAATTCCCCTCATTAATTCCTAAATGCAAATCAATGAGCCTTAATATCCTCTTGCTTGGCCGAATTTTCCTCAAGCCCCACCTATTAATTTCTTTCCTAAAATCTGGTTGGGCTTTGAAAATTAATTTCCCCACTTCCCTCTCAATCCCGTGAGTTCTGAAATCAATTACAGAATTATTCAATTTGTTTCCTAAATCACTCTCCACCTCTTTGGAAACAATTTGAAACCTCACCTGACCGAATTTGCATTGAAGCATTCCTTAAATTATGGCAGTGGAATTAGGAATTTATTTCCCTCCATCTCCTTGTCCCGCTTCCCTCCTTCTCCTCATTGCTGGGTTGAAAACTTTCCACAAGTGCAGCCAATTACTTGGGAAAATTTAATTACCCAATCCTCTCTCTGTTCGCTGAAATTCTCTCAAGCCCGTAGCTTGATTTTTCCTCCCAAGCTCCATCCCCATTATTAGAAAAACCTGAAACTTATTTCAGGTTTGATTTGGGTTCCTTTCTCTACAAGATTGTAAGAGAATAGTTCAGATTTTTGGAGAAGAGACTGTTCGTTTGCAAAGCCCCCTACCCTACCCGTTCTACATCACTAGAAATTTTTTTCAGCTTGATTTAGGGATAAAAGATAGTCATGCAATATGAGATAGAGTTCATATTCTTATTAAGATATGCTTTTCATTATGTCAGTGCCCGGTAGGAAAAGTGCCATATATTTTGAGCCTCTAGGATCAGTTGAGACTTGTGTTAGCTTCGTTTGATTTCAATGAATTTTCAATCTTGATGGTAAGAGCTGGAAGAGTTGAGTGTTGAATTATTCAAAGTAGAGATTGGAAACAATAATATGGTAAGAAAAGAAATGTTGATCAAAGAGATAATTTCAAAATTAATAAATTTAAATTTGACAATGGATAGAAGAATATAAAATATTTGTAGGGTTTTAAATGATTCAATATACTCAACGGGCTACTTAGGCCTCAACTTGATTATAACTCGTTCAGGATCATTTAATTAATTAGTCAAACAAACTTGAATATTTTTATAAATATTTGATTGATAAATGTTCAAGCTTGAAGAGCTTGGCATTCAATTCTTTTATGATCATGAAAAATGCCATTTAAAGCTCGTAAGCAAGCTTGATTAAGGTTCGATAATATACTAATTTAAGACTCAATTAGAAATGTATTTAATATATAATTATATGGGAGTATGGTTCTTTTTTTATTAGATTATTTTTGTTCATGAACACAAGTACTTTTTTATGTTAGTTAAATTACTTATTTATTTATTAATTCATTAAATTAAAGTCTCATATTTAAGTTCATGGATGGGCAGCTCGTTAATAGGTCAATAAGGCCTGTTTAGTTAACTAATAAGATGCTCAATAATGTTTCTTGTTAAAAGGCTTGTTATGGCTCATTTTGAGTTGTTGAGCTCAAATCAAGCTCAAACAATCATAATTTTAAACGGATCAAGCTTGAACGGTATCATAATACTTGAATCAAGTTTGAACTTGAGCTCAAATAGGATCTTAACAAACAAGCTCAACCTCAAGCTTGATCAAGCTCTTGATCGGCTCGGCTCAATGCATTTACAGTTCTAAGTCTGAGAAGCTATTATGTGAGCAGTGTAGAAAGAGATATTTTAGGTGGTGTCTTGTTGGCTCTGAAAAGTATTTTAAGTGTGAAAAAGTTGGGCACATCTATATGAATTGTCCCATAAAGAAGAAAAATAATAGTCCATATAGGATGTTAGGGATATGCTCTACAAAGGAAGTTTCAGGAGGTAAATAATAAGTCAGGTAAGACTCAATTTTATGGAAGGCCATCTATTCAAGAAAAAGGAGTTACTTCAGAGAATAAGAGCAACCAACCAATAAAAGCAAGAAACTTGCCACACACTTAAAGAGGCAAAGGAATTAGAAATAATGATTACATGTATGCTTTTGATCTCCAATCAATTTGGTACAATTTCTTTTTGATTCAGATGCTTTGCTTTCATTTATATCTAAAGAGTTATTGCTCATTTGTTTGTTGAATTTATGTGTGTTTTGTGGGCTCCAAAAATTCGTTTCTTGGTCTCTCCGCGACCCTTTTCTTTTTCATGTGTGTGAAGAGAGTTTTAACGAGTTCAAGTACCGGGATAAATTTTCAGAAGGCATATTGGATTTTTAGATAAGAATTTACCCAGAGATTTCACCCTCATTTTGCGAGTACTTTATGATATGAGTTCAGGTTTCCTATAAGTGTCAGCCCCTATAGTTAATTACCCCTCTTGATAACGAGAGAAAACTTTTGATTAAGGCTAGTCGTTGAACATATACATAGTATCCAACGTATAGTAACAACAAATTTAGATATTGGAAATTAAAATTTATATCAGTGCTCACTTAAAGCGGATGGTGGGGGAAAATAATGATGAACCCGATCAAGATCGCATGGTTCCGTCGTCTCAAGCCATCATGCTCCCTAGTCTACTTAGTTAGAGGAGGTAGTCTAGCCAACCTGTTCGAAGGATCCTTATCGACAACCATGGGTTGCTTCGTCCAAGGGTACCTTGTAGACTTGGGGTGAATGATTGTCTAAGGTGATAGATTTTAGTTCATATTAGCTAGCAAAGGACTTTATGTCGTATCTATCATATCATATTGATTCATTACTCAATAATTTAGAGCCGTTGGAGAACATATAGGCTCTGATCATGATTATAATTTAATTGTGTCATTTAGCGGCAAAACCACACAGTCAGAGGGTCCATGTCATAACCATTTACCAATGGCGCCATTTGTTGCGAAACCACCGGTTAGAGGATACGTGACACGTCTTTACTAGCAAGGAATGATTTGAAAATGAATCATACTGATATTCTCGACTAGCCATTTGCTCTTTATGAGCTAAAGTAATTTCCAAATCTGCCTACCTCGACAAATTGTTGCGAAGGGTGAATGAATCTTTTGCTTTAGGTGTTTGGGTGATTTATTTCATCTTAAATATCTTAATTTTTGTTTTTTTAGTTTTGAACTTTCATTGAAATTGGAGCCTCTTAATGATTGATTTTAAGATTTGGGGGCGTTTAAATAGTATGATCCCTAGGGGTGTCAATATTTGACACGGCCCGAAAATTCGACCCGAACTAAAAATTTTGGGTTCGGGATAAGGATTTCGACCAGTTTATAAAATCGGGTCGAGTTCGGGTTGACATTTCCTCCAGTTCAGCTTGTAGCAAAGAACTTCTTCTTGCAGGTATGTTGTGTGATGCGTTATGAGTTCTTCACCTTTTACTTCTAAGTTATCTATTTGGCGTGACAACCTGGCACTATGAATTCATTGCTTCTGTTACCAGTGATCCACAGTTTTCACTACAAATTCCTTGTCTCTGCTTGCGGGTGAATCGTTGTACTTTGCTACGGGTTATTTGTTGTTTCTTGTTGGTAGACTATTATGTAACGCAAACTTTGTTAAGTTTGTTTGTGGTCTAACAATAGACATTCTGAAGTCACCAGTTGTTGTATGTAGATGAACTGCATTCGGTGTGACATTCTCCAATACTGCTTGTGGGTGGGACTACTATGTGCATTTCAAGTTTACGCTCCCTACTTGTGCGCAAGCCGTATTCACCACGAATTTTGTTATTTTGATTTGTATGCAAGTTGTTATGCATATGATGAGTAGTTTACTATTGCTCGCAAGTATTGCTATTGATCACTTGTTGCTTCTTGTAGGCAAGTTGTCGTGTGCAGCACAAATCCTTTAATGTTGCTCATAGGTGCTTGTGTTCATCGCAGATTTCTCAGCCTTGCTCGTAGATAGTATGTTGTGTGCACATCTATGCTTATAGGGAACTCATCATGCTTATTTGCAATTGAATGTCATTGATTGTTATGTGAACTGCATTTGTCTCAAACTCCACAAACATATCTTGGTTAGCAAATCATTACATTCATTGCATATCAACCTCCTTTGCTTGCAGGAAACTTGTAATTTCTAGTACTAAGAAATTTCTACTACAATTCAATACAATTATCTTTGTCTTTTAAGCTCATCATGCTTCTGATTTTCCAATGATAAGTTAATAGAAGCATAAAGTCAACAAATTTACTGATTGTTTTAGATTCGAAAAAATTACTGACAGGTAAGCAATATTTTTAATTTTGGCATCTTTGGTTCTTTCCATTTCTTTTGGAACCGAGCAGCATAGTTATACCAACTAAAGGATAATCATACCTTTGATGTACTCATTCAAAACGATACACTCAGAAATATTCAGAAAATCTTTTGTGATTTATGCTGTGATTCAAATCAATGATTTAATTGTCAATTAGTGATAATGTGCTTTCTGGCCATCCACACCCAAGGTGTACTAGCATGTATTCGATCAATCTACTGTATGAAAGTCCTTTATTTTTTTATTTTCAGTTTTTTTTTTTTTGTAACTGAACGGTTACGGTTGAAACTAATTCTCATATGTTTCAGGGGTCCTCTTTCACAGGGCTATTTTTGTACCAAATCAGTCTGTGTTCAATAAGGTTGGTTCTTACGCAACACCACAATCGGATCCTAAGCAAGTTGATCTATCGTGGCAACTGACCATCCAAAGAATTTGGAGAAACATCATAAATGGAAAAAGAGGTACACTCTAGCACAAAGAACTTCAATGATATCCACTGCTTTGAGGATCTTTTTGTTTTAAAAATACCAGTACAAAGTGTATTCTATAAAGATTACTGAGAGCTATACTATTGTATAATCTTCTTGTTGTCAGGACTAGCAGATGATTCAGTTTATAGTATAGATGAAGCCTGTGAAAAAGGTGAACGAAGTAATACAACTGGTTTGGAGAATAGTACAGTGCTTCCTTCTCTTCCGTCAGCTATTAAGTGGCTTAGGGAATATGCAAAACGAAACCAGTCAATCCGTGTCCAGGTAAAATCTAGTATTTGCAAATAAGTATAATATTGAATTCTTCAGACCCCTTGGAATCAATATTTGCAATCTATTATAAATAAAGTTATAAACATCATATCTTCTTTGAAATCCGAATACGTTATTTTGAGCATCAAAATCTAACCTGCATGCTCTACTTCCTGTTTCTCTGCAAAATGCCAACACTCGAAATACTTGTTGGAGCAAATTACAGTTCCAGTATGATGTCTGCTAGGTGAATTTTGTCCAAGTCCTCATTTGGTTTGTTTAAGTTAGAAATTATGTTTTGAAAAACAATCTAATTTATTATGTATATCATTTGGTTTGATGTTTCTTGATGCTTACATTAATTTCAAACTTCACAAAGCTTCTCAAAAGTCCCACAAAAAATAATGATTTGATTTATTGATTCAGAAGTAGAGACAATGAAATCATCATTGTCTAAAACTTGCTTTCTATATGCAAGCAACCAAATGAGCCTTGAGATGGTTTCTTTGATTCCATTTGTTTCTCTTGATGAAATCATCTTTCCCCAAAATTTAGAAGGAATCCCCGTTGCTCTGTTCAGTTGCGGGATTTGTGCATTTGTTTCTCTTGATGAATTAATGGTTTTACTTGTCCCACCCGACCTTTAATAATAGATGTCCCTGGTCTTACAGTTCACAAGTTCTTTTTTCTCATATTTTTTTTTCCTCGTATTTTTCATGGCTTTTTACCACGGTTTTGTCATGAGTTCACAATTGATTAATATTTTGGTTGGACGTGATTTGACATCAATGTTATTTTCGAACTTTTCAAATATCCTCAAAATCTTATGAAAATCTATTCTTTGATCTAAAAATAAAATTATCAAAGCAATTGAATGAGCCCTTTTAGGTTTTTTATTTTTTTGAAGAGACGCTTTCTAATCAACTGCATGTGGCTTGCAACTGACAAGAGCTTTATGTGCCTCATTTCAGGTCCTAGTGACCGGCTCCCTGCACCTCATAGGAGATCTTCTGAGATTTATTCAGACTTGAGCCTTTCTGCCAATCCCAAACTTCCATCTATGTTAAATGGAAATTTGATTGCCTTGTGATAGCATCTTCTTTTTTCTCCCGGCTTTTTTTTTATGAACTTGGTAATGCAAATGTATTATAACATTTTGAGAAATCTTGTTGGAATTTTGCAGCTCTTCCAAACCAACTACTAGTTTGATGGAAAAACAGGATTAGATATGATCCGACTCAAATTTCATTGATGATAAATAAAGCTAATTGCAGTGGAAAGTAGCTAGAGCCTAGAGGATTATCAAACTTCGTTGAAGAAGAAGGAAAAAGGGAACAAAGGCAGAGGATTATCACAGTGCCCAAAATTTTCTTAAGATGGTTAAATAAAAGGAGAATAGTACTAGAACTTAGCAGTACTAGAACGATGAAACCTTTGGTCTCAAGCCAACTATCTCTCAAGTTCTATCTGTCCAAAAGAAAACTAAGTTAAAGATCATATGCTTGATAGAATTCACATTTGAATTCTTAAGTTTCGTTTGGGACAACTTATTTATTGCTTCTTAAAATAATTTTTTAGTACAAAATTTTATACTAAAAAACTGTTTTAAGAAGCATTAAGGACATGGTGTAAATATATTGTTATTTCTCTCTTCCCAGATAAGGACAAGGAAAATAACGAAAGAATAGTTATTTGACTCGGCATTGAGAGATGAGTAAAGAAACTTCTGAAAAGAAGAGAAATTCCGATTGATTCGCTGTGCTTTTAAGGTTTTACTCCACAAGGCTTTAAAGAGAGCAGACAAGCCAGGGGATGTCAAAGTCAAGAAAGGAATGCATAGAAGGAAAGACTGGAATTCCACTGTGAAGGTGTCAGCTTTTGGTAACATCTCAATCTGTGTGCCTCATCACAGTTCCAAATGCCCATTGTTGGCTTAAATACTTTGTTGATGGTAGGTATCACCTGGAGGGTTGGATCTTGGATGTCCAAGCAGAATCAAACTAGTCCACCGGCAAGTCCATGCTTCGATGTTATCCAGGTTAGGCTACCTTCTGGGTTCGACTCATATGGGTTCATGCTGGTTCAGGTCAAGTCAATATATGGGCTTAACCATGAGTTGACACAATGATCTGAGTTGGGTAGAGTTTAACATAATAGGTCATGGTGTGTCTCTAAGGTTTAGGTGAATCAAACCGTAAGGAGGGGGTCCAAGTCAAGTCTAAGGTACCTATGAATCTGGGGCGGATCCACCTTATGCCGAGAGGGAGCAATTGTTCCCCTGAAAAAAATTAATTTTTATTATAAGATTATATAGGTAATTTGTCTCACTACATCTATTTTTTAATCTTTATTACATGAATTTGTAGGCAATTAACAATGGGTATAATTTCTAAAGCTTCAAAACTATCAAAATCCACCAAAGTTAATGCCAACTTTTAAATAAAAAGAAATTCAAATTTAAAATATACTAAAATAAATCAAAACAAATTAAATAGAAAATAAATTTGGCCTCCACCCAAATTAACAAATCCCAAAGCTCTCGGCTTATCTGAACTATCTCTATCAAATTATACAAGTACTGAAATTAACATAAACCTATCAAAATTCATTAGGCAATCTCATCATAAATTATCATATTTTCTAAGTTTTGTCGAAGGTAGTTTTTATCTGACAAACTATTTCATAAAAATACTAAATTTTGTTTAATTTGAGCTTCTATTTCAAAATTATATTATTTTTTTGGGTATTTGCAAATATACCACAAAATTATTATTTATTTATATGTGTAGCTCTTACAATTTTATATTTACTTACATAACACTCAACTCTTTAAATTGCTTGGAACAAAAACTCTCTAAATCACTTAAAAAATATCAGTAATATTAACTTACTTGAAGTAAAATAAATATTTTAATACATATGCTTTAATGTGATTTGTCTACTAAAATAATAAATAAATAAATATAAAAATTTAAATATTACATATATAAATATATAAGAATTTTATGGTGTGGTTGTAGATCCCTTGTTTTTATTTCACATCAAAGTGATTTTTATATTTAGGGATATTTATATACATGTTAGTCAAAATATTAGTATTACATATTTAACACTTAAATTTTGTTATTTACACCATTTAAACCTCCATTAATAGAGTTAGCGTATATTGTCGTTCATTTCCCCATTGATGTCACTGCCTTGATTCATCCATGTCTTCTCTCATAACTCATTCATGCCTTCACATGCAAACTCTCGTATGATTTCCTAGCATTTTCTTTTCCAAAGGCTTTCGAAAAATTTGATAGATGTGTTGTCGTAGCAGGGGTGCAACCGAGTCAAGTCAACTCGCGAACCGACTTAAGCTTGACTCATTAACGAGATTGCGAGTCGAGATTATCGAGTTTCGAGTTTAAGAAGCTCGACTCAATTATAAGTCAAGCAAATTGAGTGCGTAATCAAGCGAAACTGCCAGAGGCAGAATCGTGACGTGGCTCATATGTTGAAGCTTTGACAGAATCGTGGGGCGGGCTTGGACACGGAAGGCAGGCACAAATGCTTGCATTTGATCAGAATAGGGGAATGGGGGAGCTCTACAAACTCATTTTCAGTGCAAGAGTCGAGCTCAAGCTCGCCTTTTGAGCTAAACTTGAGTTCAAGCTTAAAATTTGGCTCACGAGTCGAGCTCGAGTTGGACCTCAGCCAAATTTGACTCGACTCTTTTGCACCCCTATATCGTAGTCAAGAACTCACAGGCAAGGATATTGATGGGTCCATATAACTTACATGGGAGCTTGTAAGTGAGAGCATCAATGTGTCCAAGCGAGACAAAGGTCGAAGGCTAGGGCATAGATTGGTGCAAGTATGGAGATTTCCCAGATTAGAGAACGAGATGTCTCATGGTGTGGGCAATGACATTGGTCAAATTATGATATTATTTAGGGATTTTAATAATGAGGTGGTGTTTTTTTCATATTCTAAATGCTGCATATATAAATAATGAGATTTAAATGTTAAAGATGTAAATATTAATATTTTGATTGTTAGGTATCTAAATTTAGAATATGTTTGGATTAACCGTAACTTTTGTAAAATTAATTATAAAATAATTGTGGAAAAAAATTCAAGTTGCTATAAAAAATAATTTTAGTGCATGATTTTATTTTTGAAAAGAGTGATAAAATAATCGTTAAATAGAATTTTGATTGAAATGTAAAAAGTAAAATAATAAAAAAATTATAAATTTTTTTTAATAATTCATTTGAAATAATATCCTGACTGCTTTATTCTTTAAATAAAAAAATAATTTCATTAAGCTTCTGCTAAAGAGCCGATCTTTATTTTTTGACTGCAGCTGCACACATAAATGGCGCTTGTTTCTTCCTAGTTTGTATGAACTATTTAATACCGTTTATCATCTATATGCCGGCCGCGTTTTAGTTCCAAGGTGGTAAGAGCGGTGTCACGACCGTTCGCTTTTCAGGGACAGCTCTCCGATCTCTCCTCTCTTTTTCCTGTTGTTATCTCTCTAGCTATGGATGCGCATCATGCTTCCATTGGACGTCGAACGGTAGCAGTTTCCCCATTTCTCACACTTCTCACCAATCATTAGAGAATTTCTCTAATTTCGCTGAAATCTGTGCAGTTGGAAGAAATTCGCTTGAAAAGAGCCGCGGAAAGAATCAATAAAACCTCATCCGGTTCCGATTTGGAAACTTTGAATCAATATGGTACGTTGTATTTCCATATTTTTACCCTAAGAAGAAGATCCTCTTCCCCATAGGCCTTGTCCTTTTCTCTTGTTTTTTTGATTTTTCAAATTTTATTTTGATGCAGGGATGCACGGGTCGGGGAGCGGAGACCGTCTTATGGAGGTTAGGGTGTCTCTTTTCATTCGCTGGCGCTCTTTTGTATGTTTGCAATTGTTTATGTATAGTAATTAGGGCATGTTAAATCAAGTTATCGATTTTTGCATATCCTTGATTTCGAGCCTTGATTCAACCTTTTCTTTTGTGGCATTTATTTCATAATCACCATCTGTCAGCCTTTTTTGTGGAGCGAGAGATGAGGAATGTTTGAAGGGGCGAAGTTTTACTTGATGATGTCGCTGGTGATGGATACCCGCACTCCTCCGGCTCCCTTGCAAAAATCCAAGTTTTTTTGCTGGCTTAAATATAAATCGATGGAGGGTGTGCCATGAGAGTTTGTTAGTGGAATCAAGAGATTAGAGCCTTTAGAGAACTGAACTGAATCCTTTTCTTCCACTCTACCATTTTTTATGGTGCCATTAATAAAAGTGAGATATATGAAGAATGTTCAATATTTTTAAAAGTGCAATCTAGTTGTGCCCGGATCAGGAATTACATGTAATCCAAATCAAAGAATACCCGAACCAATGATCATTGGTTCCGTTACCTGGAATTGCGAAAGTGGCGAATACGAAGAATCTCAATCGAGAAAGATAAAGAACCCAAACTAATAAACGTCGTTTCCGTCACCTGGAGTCGCGCTCGAGAAGGCGAAGAAGTCAAGGGGGACGAGAGAGTCGTTTCGTCGCTTGATGTCGAGGCCCTAGGGAGATGGAACGAAGAGTTGTATTAACTGCTGGTTCTGTCTCTTGGGGTTGCGAGAAAGATGAAAGGCCTCATCCCCTTAAATTGTCGAGGGATGAGAGAGAGATTGGGAGAGACCGGGAGAGAGAAGAAGAGACTAAGTGAGGGAAATGAAGGATTTTGTTACTTTTTCAATAGTGAGAGGAGTCGGGAGCCGGAGATAGAGCGAGATAAGAACCACATCCACTATGTTAATTATGAAAGGATCAAATTTGTGAGCCATGTAATGGAGCTATGGGAGTGAATGTAACATAGAATGAAAAAAAAAATACATCAATTTCGGAGAATCCATTTCATGCTAGGAAGATTTACGATGGAAGCGATTTTTGTGTTTAGACAATTAATGAGGACATATATAAAAAAATATTTAGCTAATTTTTACTAATTTTGAGAAGGCATATGATCGAGTATCACAAATGATTTGGTTTACTTTAAGGTAGATAAGTGTGTGTCAAAGATATGTTGACCTTATTTCAAAAATATGTATGTGGAGCAATGACTAGTTATTTTAATTTACAAGTTTGATTGAATCTTAAAGTTCTAATTTAAATTTTAACAACATATCTTGGAAGACTAACCACTTCTTTGGCTTTAAATTGCATCATCTTATCATAAGATGAATAAATTTTTTGATTAATTTGCTTAATACTCTTAAGACATGTCACAATTACCACTAATGTGGTCTTGTCAAACTTTTTTTATCGTGTCACATTATAATCTTTAAAAAAGATTTTTATTTCATTTTACTATAAGATAGTCTATTTGTAATCTAGAAGCTCTGTTCTTAAAAATAAATATTTGCTCTTTTTCTTCTTTTAAGTATGTGTTCAAAAATTGCAAAACTTTATACTACCATGAAATTAAATACAACTTTTCTTTTTGTTTTTCCAAATTGCATTTCGTGCCCACCGTGAGTCCTTTTATAACTCATTTTATTAGAAATTATGGCCATTTAAGTCAGTAATAATGATAAAGTATTTTCTTGCTTAGGTATATGTAATAGCAGTCCATCCATTCTTTCCCCTAAAAGGGGTCTTTTGACCTTTCTTCTAATCCAATATAATGAGCATCAGAACTAACCACTTTGTAATATCCACTTTAAAAATAAATATTTGCTCTTTTTTCTTCTTTTAAGTATGTGTTCAAAATTGCAAAACCTTATACTACCATGAAATCAAATACAACTTTTCTTTTTGTTTTTCCAAATTGCATTTCGTGCCCATCGTGAGTCCTTTTATAACCCATTTTATTAGAAATTATGTCCATTTAAGTCAGTAATAATGATAAAGTATTTTCTTGCTCAGGTATATGTAAAAGCAGTCCATCCATTCTTTCCCCTAATAGAGGTCTTTTGGCCTTTCTTCTAATCCAATATAATGAGCATCAAAACTAACCAATTTGTAATATCTTCACCAAAAATTAACTAGTTTATAATCATGCTATTACTAACCATATTTATGTCAATAATCTCACCTTTCAACTCTCTCTCCACTTATATCACAACTCTTTTCAAATTTCAAACCCTTATGTTGTATAATACCTTGTAATATTCCTTTTGAATTTTATTTTTAATTTAGTTTCTTGAATCAGTGCATATGAATTCTTCTTCAAGTTATTATTTTATTTATTCTTTGCATTAAAGCACATTTACATTGCAGAACATAGAGTTTAGTGAGAAGTATTATGAAGGATGTGGTTGCTTATCTAAGTTACACGGGATGACTTCATAAAGAATTTTTTCATTAATCAGTGTATGATGCTTAGGTTTTTTTAATGAATTTAAGTAACTTAAAACATTTACCACAACACTTTATTTTAATTTATAACTACAATCAACTATAGGCACTACTGGAGGGTTGTTAGGTTACAATGCCACATTGCTCACTATATGTGGCTGTCTGACAATATTGGACAGTTTTAGCCATTCTAAAATTGTATATCTTGTTTTTAATACAGTGCTTGATATCTCTTGGACAAGATGCCAATTTGATTACAATTGGAAGGAACCTATTCCATTATAACTTGACGATATACCAAATTAATTTTATTTTAGATTCTATAACTCTTATTTATTCCACTCTATCTTTTGCTCTTAATAGTTCTGTTATTGAACTTGCATGATCCTAAATTTTGGCCTTGACATATGATTACAGATAGTATTTATAATATATTCATGTGTGTGCTTTTAGTTTAAGATGTTAAAAAGGCATTATTTTATGTATGGTTTATGCATGTAATCACATTCTCTAGGCATCTTTCTCTTCTATTTTCCAAGATTTTTATGTTGCAATGTCTCTGTCTTGTTTTAGTTTTTCTTGTATCCATGTCTTCATAGATTGTCATGCTCAGGAGATTTCTGATTAGAAAATGAGATATGCAAACCATGATAATTTATCAGAATGGTGGTGTGGAGAAGACCGAGTTTATTAAGGAGAATATGATCAAGGACTTGTGCTGGGAATGCAAATTACTGGTTAAAACAAGTCATGCGTCCACCTATGTAATATGTGAGATTTTAAAAAAGGTGAAAAGTAAATTGAATTATGATGAATGGAAAAGGACGGACAAATATTCAAAGTTTTGTAGGGCAGTGTTTGTTATCCTTGTGAAAAGATAGAGCAAATCAACACCTCTTTTCATTGCTTAGCCCATTTATTTAACCTGATGTAACCTTCAAATCAAATGCTTAATTATCTATTCACATACATAGATCAGTAGATATATACTCAACTATATTATCGGATGTATTTTGTCTCTTAGTTATTGTTGCCATGCTTGGGTTGAGGCTTCAAATTATTTTGTTCAACATAAAGATAAAGAAATATCATATAGCAAAACAAATTTTTTGAATCTCAAAGAAAAAATAACGACGATCTTAGATTTTGCATACATTTTTTGCCGGAATGACTCTGTAGCTTGTAAGGGTAATCGTCTTGCGATTATGGTGAAAACTATTGAGATTTGTAGATAAATTAACTTATCCCCTACAAGTTTCTTAGTTGCCACCTTCAACCTAGCCTCTACAAGTTGTTACTTATAATTATGTACAATTATGTTATCTATCACCATCTACTAGCCCTTACAAGCTTACTACATTCCAGTGCTATTAAATGTGTGCTTTAGGAGTAGAGTGAAGTGATGTTGGCCTTGCACATCGCTTACCTGTGAAGTGCAAGCTTAGAGCAAAGCATATGTATCACACCACGTTATCACATCTCCTTGTAGCATTGCATGCTTTGCTTCATCTCAAAACAAAATCTTAATTTAAATTTCACGGTTCGGTGCAGCATAAGCCACAATAACTAGGCATGGATGTTTGCTTCCCCTCACTCATACTCATTGAGTCTTTGCTCGTTTGTTAGACGTTCCCTCTTGCTAGAGCTTATTACTAGTGGTCCTTCTCTTCATGCTCTCTAGCCCATTAGTTTTCTTATGCGCTGGTTACTACTTTTGGTTGTTGGCATGAGTTGCTTCTTGCTCTTAGCTTCTTTTTGGGATGGCTTGTCAATGCCTCATGTTCATACTCGCTTGCTTTGAATTGCCTCCACTTCTCGGTCTCTAATTAATCGCTCAATATCATAATTATTTTCATTTTAAGTATTTTTCATCTATTCATTATTTGTATATTTGATTTTTTTAATAGCTAGCAATAAATATTATTTAATGTATTATTATATTTTGATTAAAAGTTATTATCATATGTAGTTTGAGTATGGTTAATTTTTGCATGTAATATATACATATGATATACATGTCATGAACATTTTAACTTATAAAGTGCTACTTCACTTTGCGATTTGCATGTTGAAGAAAACCAAATCCTTGTTCATCATATTACGTTTTGCACTTTGAAAATATTGCTACTTATTATCTCTAAATATTATATAAATAGATGATTCTGTGGCATGGAAGATTAACACTAGTAAATAAAGAAGAGTAGAGGGAGAAAGAGGAGAGGGGCTTAAGTTTTAAACCATAAGAGGGAGAAGCTATTGTACTAGAAGAGAGAAGAGAGGAAGAAGCTCTCATGATAGATAAGGGAATACAATAATAACATTGGCATCAATGTCTTCTCAATGTTCAATCACCCTTGTCTTCACGAGAGGTGGTTTCTTTCCCTCACAGTCATTGGCATAACGAAAGTGATATCTCTATCAATATCTTTAACTTACACGAAAATAAATCTTTAATGCACCCCCTCCCTCTTTGAAGTTTTATGAATATTTGATCTTTATGCTATTATGCACGTAAGTGTGTCTTACCGAACTATGTAAACATGTGTCGTGTACTTGTAATCTTTGGTATGTTTGTTCTCTGTGTCCATTTGGTGCAATGCTTTATGTTGCAAAATGTTGGCCATTAAAAGAAAAACATAATATTAAGTTAAGTGTTGCAGAGATGAGGATGCTCAAGTGGATGAGTGGCTTTACTCTTAGAGACAAGATACGGAACGAGCATATACGTGAAAAGTTTGGAGTAACTCTAGTGGCAGATAAGATTAGAGAGAGTCGTCTTAGATGGTTTGGTCATATAGAATGGCGGCCTACCGATGACTCGGTTAGGAGGGTAGATGTATTAGATTTGACCTATATTAAGAAAAGTAAAGTTAGACCTAAAAAGTCTTGGTTAGAGAATATAAGAAATGACATTTCTTTATAAGATCTAAATGAGAATTTAACTCTTACCATGGCTGAATGGAGGAAAAAAAAACTCTTGCCATGGCAAAATGGAGAAAAATGATTCATGTAGTTGACCCCACGTAGTGGGATAAAGGTTTGATGTTGTTGTTGTGGTGGTGGTGATAATGATTGAAACTAGGCACGGGTATTAGCATTGATATTGTTCTTTCCAATTATTGTATGATCACAATTTCTATAAGCACTTTCTTTATTTTGACGTGTTATCATCTTGTAGTATGAAGATACTACGTACTTTGCTTTGTTTTTTTTTCATTTTATAAAGAACATGGTGATCATGATATTGATAAATGTGCCAAGTCTAAGGTTATTGATATTCTGTAGCCTGAAAATATATTTTATCTCTTGGTCTTTAAGCTTCTTATTTGTTATATACGTTGCTTTAGGCTTAATACTCATTTGATGGAAGATGTTTCTACTTTATTATTTTGAAGTATAATTTAAGTTTGTTCTATTGAAATAATCTATTTGCTCTTTTGCCTGTTGTTCCCTACTTTCGGAATATATCCGAGTTGTATCGTTCTGCTGATTACCCTAATGCTTGACTTCGTCATGCCTTTCTCATGTTGGTGGCTTGGTTCCAGTAGGAACTCTTGTGTAGTTATCATTAAAGTGTGGATTTATATGAGTACATTGATACTTGGTGCTACCAAGAAAATGGAAGATGTTGATGCTCCTGTTCATGGTGCCAACTTTACTGAAGTTCTTTGAACTATTCTATTATCCAACTTTTTAATCCATTTAAGGCTGTGAAAGCATTGCAGTTCCATTGTACCATTCTATATAACTTTTTATTGACCTCAAAGTAGAAATGATACCCCTAGAAATCTTCCAATGTGTGAACCCAGTGTAGGATTGAAATGCTTTTATAGCCTATGATTGCCGATATGCTGCATTTATTCTCCATGTTTATACAAACTTGCTTGTTATTAGTTTGTAGAATGCATAAGATGATTTTAAATCAACAAAGAATTGTTATATAGGAGACGGCTGGTGATGTGCCAGATTATTCTAATAACCAAAAAATACAGAAGTCTCCAAACATCCAAATGCCCAAACCAACACATAAAACTGAAAAAAAAAGGATAACACCATAATTTTTTTTTATATAAATTTTATCATGCTTTGTTGTTTTATTTCTCAAAGAGAATAATACAGTTGATTGTCTCTTTTCTTCTGCAGAGAGATTCATTTGCTTTACTATCTCAAGTTAAAGAGCTTCAAAGTAAATGTGGAGATTTAGAAAAAGAAAATCAGAAGCTGTTGGCTAAGGTAGCGTGATTTATATCCTGTTTAATATAATCTTTCTTAGAGTGACATCGAAGAGCTTATTTAGCATTGTTTGTTCCATTCTTAAATTTCTGACGTTCCACTTTTAGCTTGAAGAAAAAGAAGCTGACAATAGTTCATTATTGAAGAATTTAAAAGAACTAGTAAGTAAACATTTCCTTTTTTGGTTCAGTTCAAGTATTGAAAATTGAATATTATTTAAAGCCTCGTGCTCTCACTTCTTGCATTTTCTATTTTGATTTTGCAATTCAGGAAGACAATACTATACCTTCTTTGAGAAAGGCTTTGAAAGATGTTTCAATTGAGAAGGATGCAGCAATGGTTGGGAAGGTAGTGATACATATAAATTTTTGCTTTTGCTTTTGGACTGTAATCTTACTCAGTGATACTTTAGAATAGGAGGATGCTCTGTCCCAACTCCGGACAGCTAAAAAACGACTGAAGGAGGCAGAAGAAGAGCAATACAGAGTACGTGGTTTGTTTCAGTGTTTTGTTTTTAGAGTGTTGTCTATAGTTCTGATCTTTTTATGTAGCGTAGGCAGAAGAGGATGCTGCAGCCTTGCGAGCAGAGTTAAATTCTCTACACCAACAAGTTATGGCAAATCCATACGGTGGCATTCCATCTGTTGATAGGATACCAGATAGTGTCCTTTCTATGGAAAAGGAAATTACAGAATTGAAGTCACAGTTGCAGGTTTGACTTTAATTCCTTGCCTTATTTAAGAGTTTTTATTTTGTTACTTTGATTTTCAAATCTAACTGTTTTGTAAATACCTGAAACTTTCTAGAAAGAGTCTCAATTGAGACAGCAAGAGCAGCGTAAATTAGCTGAACAGCAGCTTCAAGTTTCTTCCCTCACAACTCAAAAGATCAATTTGGAAGATAGATTAGCAGCTTTGTCAAAGAAGGTATCAGGTACACATTTTATTGGATTAAAACCCAAATTCTTCATATTGTGTGATTTTTTAAAGTTGACTAAGTTTTTGTGATACCTGTGGCTCGTGCATGTAACTGATGTATGCACATTTGCATGCTCAGTAGTGTCACACATGTTGGTGCATTTGCTCACTTAGTAGTTGTTTCATTGAGAATTACATTTGAATGAGGGAACTTAGGTAAATTCCACAAAGTTTTGATTTATCCCTCTTAATTAGTGATTTAGGTTTCATTTGGGACAATTTTCTTGCTGCTTTTTATAGTGGCTTTCTAGTACAAAATTTTCTTGAAAGCAATGACAAAAAACTGTCCCAAATGAATCCTTAATCTTTCATGACTTGTCCATCCTCAAATCTCTTTTTTGTGCAGGATAGTCTTTCATCTCTGGTCCCTAGATCTGTTCAATCCCTTCCCAATTAATCCCCTTATTCAGTGATTTAATCTCACATAACTTGGTTTACCCCTTCATATCTGGTCTTCCTTAATATAAGCATTTGTTATTATAGATATAACTAGTTTAGTGCAATGATAAACTTTAAAGAAATATTTGCTTTAATACTTAAATAAATATAAGATTTGATTTTAAGCAAGGAGCATGAGCATTTGTAAGAATAAAAATGCATTTGTCAAGTGCTAAATTATTAGGTGTACTCTACTTGTTAATTACAAGTGCATGTAGATTTTTTAGCATATTTATCACTGGTTGTCACTTGGAATATTGGCCCGTAAAATTTAAAAACATCGATAAAGTTTAGGTAATTCAACCTAGCAATTATTAATGTCCTCTAAATGTCATTGTTGAATCTTATAACATCAACTTTCTAGTATTGAGAGTCCGGAATTTTTTTCCCTATTGAGATTCATCTCATCAGAAATTTTGCCTCTCCATGCATAGTATGTCAGCTTAATTCATATGACATGATGTTTTATTGATTTCTTTTAATATAATATCATCATGTACATTTAAAATTATTTGGCATTGATATTCACCTGCTATCGATTAATCTGTTCAAAGATAAACATATAATATTTAAAAGTTAATATTCATGTACTTAAATAAACATTGTATTCTATCAAACAATTTTATAAATTAAGTTAATTAAAAGCATCTTGAATTTAGTTAAACAGATGATTTTATAAAAATTCATTGGACTTGTTAATATAATTCTATCATACTCTACATGAAGAAATATTCAGTTGTATGCATTTGATAGTTCGATCAATTATAAAAATTAACAAATATTAGGCTTAAGAATAATTTGCTCATAATATTAGAGATTGAGCGTCTCTGTTGAAGTTTTGAACTGTAGGATCTTGTTTGGGATGAATTTCTCGATTTCTTTAGCCTAAATGAAAATTTCATCCATAAACAGTCTTTTTTTTTTTCAATTTGATATAAACGCCCAAATTTAAAACTTGAAACTAAATCAATAACCTCAAAAAATTTCTCCTTTTTCAAGCTTGCGTAGATTTGTGGAAGGAAATACGAAAAATAGAATTCTTATCTAAATTTCTCAAATCACTTGTTTGTCTTTTCACAAATTTTGCTACAGTGCAAGAAATGGTGTATTATTAAAGACTATAGATCAAATAAATTTAACTGGGAAATTAATTATAATTATTAAAGTATATATATATATATATACATATAAATGATCATAATGAAATACAAAATTTTATAAAAATAGTTTTGATAATTTTTGGGATTTGTAAAAGATGAGGCAAAATTTTAGGAGAATATGGTCATCTCATCTATTTTAAAATTTTGGTATTACAAACTATTTGGAGTAAACAAAGAACAAAACAAACAAGAAATAAAATTGTGGAGAAAGAGCACTAGGATTTAATGTCGAAAAAGGTGAAAACGGGAAAAAATCATGAAGCCACACCACACCAAGAAATCTATTATAAAAAATGGAGATTTTATAAATCTTCCGAACTCGCACTCTTTTCTTCACTTCACATTCACGCCCACCATCTCCAAATGTAGATAGATGAGATTTCAACCCTTCAATTAGTTACAACTCTTTAAAAACAAAGAGAAAACCGACTCCTCTGTCTCAGAATAGGTTCACAACGCTACGACGTTGTGTCCATAGCGTTGAGGTGTTGTGTTCACAGCATCTCAATGCTGAACTCTTTGTCCTAGAGGGGATTAATAATGCCACGGTGCTGAATGGACAAAAAATATATATAATAATCACTTACGTATCTAATGCTAGATCCCATTGTGAAGTGTTCGTATCTAGTGAGTCTTTCATTTAGAAATGCATAGAAAAAATGCTTTAGCTTTGTTGCTATTTGCTATTGAAAGGCTTCTTAGCACTACAAATTGCCTAGCTCTTTCCGGCCACTTCTGTATATGCATCATGGTGCGATGGGAAGGCTAGCATGGAAGTTTAATGCGAAACTGGATTCAGAATTAGGTTTGCATTTGAGTGAAGACATTCGTTTTCTGAGTTGGTGAGTCTTACAAGCAAAAAGAAATGTGTATCTACTTGATTGTACATTTCAAAATGTTGATGCAAGCATCCTTATCCCGTATAACACAGAATGTTGTTAGATTCAAATTTGTGAGCTCTTGTTGGCAATCGGATAACCTAATTGTTATACAAGGGCCTTAATTTTCAAACTCTTGCCACATATAAGCAAGACAGTGGAGAGATCAATGCTGGAAGGGCTGCAAGGTGCACAACAAATTCTGTTGAAACTATCCTGGAAGTCATACTCCGTTTTAAACTGTTCAAATGAAAGCCAGGTGGAAGTTAGCTTTCAGGAGGATTTAGAGGAGCTCATAGGCCAAAGCAGAAAATGCTTTAACATGTTCGATTTCTTTTTCTCTATCCCGGTTAAAAAAAACAGCTCAGTCTCATGTGTCCGTACTTCCATTAAGATGATAACACTACGGTAGACAATCCTAGCTCTCATGCTGTGGTGGTAAAGAATGCTAGCATTGGAATGGTAGGACCTATGTTGCACGGATACACCTATTTATAAGAAATGCTGTATCAGACACGTGTCGGATACGGATACGGCACGAATACATGTCGGATACGGCTTTGCCGTGTCCAATTAAAATATTATTTAAATTTGATCAGACACCCGATACGCGTGTCCTAGTACCGCTCGGTACTCGGTACCGGAACTCGGTACTCAATCCTAGCTCTCATGCTGTGGTAGTAAAGAATGCTAGCATTGGAATGGTAGGACCTATGTTGCACGGATACACCTATTTATAAGAAATGCTGTATCAGACACGTGTCGGATACGGATACGGCACGAATACATGTCGGATACGGCTTTGCCGTGTCCAATTAAAATATTATTTAAATTTGATCGGACACGCGTATCCGATACGCGTGTCCTAGTACCGCTCGATACTCGGTACCGCTCAGTACTCGGTACCGGAACTCGGTACTGAATGGTATCAAGTAGTACCGAGAAGGTCCAACCCCGCCAGGGAGCAGCGCCCCCTTGGACCCCCGGCATAGGCGCAACATATCTACACTTTTAATTAAAAATTTTCATGTTTCAAATTCATATGGATTTATTGTGTCGATCCTTCGTAGGATAATAAGCTCTAGTAGTGTAGGAATTGGGTCTACTGATGGTCCATTAGAGACCAAGTTTCATCCTCATCTTGTTGTGAAAGAAATTAGAGCACATACTCGTTCATCAAATCAATGAAGAGAAATAAAACTATTCCACAACGGGCTGAAGATTTAGTTTATGTGCATACAAACCTTCGGCTTCTCTCAAAGAAAACTCTAACTTATATAGAAGGAGACAACAGGATGTGGGATGTTGCTGAAGATGGATTTGAATCTCTTGAGGATATTGGAATATTAGAAATTGCTAATCTTTCACTTGATGAGCCTGAATTAGAAGCTATGATATTTATTGTTGTACTAGACATTTATATATTTAATGCTTACTTTTATTTCAATTTTTTTGTCATTTCAAATATTAAATTTGATTACTTTCTTAATTTTTATGTATTATTTATATATTATAATGCCGTATCCGCGCCGTATCTGTATCCTGTATTTTTAAGAATATGCGTGTCCCGTATTCATATCGTGTGGTATCCGTATCGTCGTATCCGTATCTGTACAACATAGGGTAGGACAATATTCTTAGTATACGGTGGGAAAAGATACCCTAACAATTCTTATCCTGAATCCAGCTTTCACATCCATGCCACCATTGCACATGACTTCAGTTTAATTACCCGTGACCTTAAGTTGGATAGGACCAACACTTTAGTCCTTAGGGGGAAAGTGCAGGTTGCAGCAGTGTATATGCAGTTTGAGAGAAGAGAGGTGAATAAGTTGTAATGCCAAGGAGCTTCAGAATTTGAGATGAAATATGAAGCTGGAACTCTCTATTCCGGCATGTTTCTTTTTCTGGAATGATACGCAGGACTTTGGCAATCAGTATTTGTGTCAGCTTAAGTTGAACGGTGAGGAAAGTGAAGAGGACTAAATATATGGGGATTGGGGAAACTTTCTGTAGTGTTCGTGAAAGGCTGAAAAAGGAGGATCAAAATCTTTTGTTCCTTACGGGTATGGGGGTCTTTATGTTTCGGCACGATTTTTCCCTAATCCAAAGCAAATTTGGTGCACCTTTTGATTATGTTAACAATCAGGTTATAAATGTGATGCAGCTGGCAGCAGCAGTCCAGCTGTCCAAGTGGGAGGAAACTCTTTGGGAAAGGAGGGGACTCTTTGGGAAAAATGTAAGGGGCATTTATTAGGGGGATTTGAGCTGTTTGAGGGAGGAGATTATGGTGAGTTGGGATTTTTATGTTATGTTTTGAATTTCTGCAGCAGTTTTTGTGAGGTTTTGGGTTCCTAGTAGCTGCTAGGAATTGTGGGAGAGACGATTCACCTCTCAAACAGTGAATCAACTTGTACCTTGTCTTGCTTTGCTTGGAAATCAGTAAAAACAGCTATCTTAGTATTATTTTTGATCTATTTGGAGCAAGTTGTTGTTTTTTATATTGTTGTGTGCTGTTTTGATCATCAAATCCTATCAAGATGCCTCTTCCAAAGAAACGAATAAGTATGATTAAATAAATTAAACATCCTGTAGATAAATGCATGCTTGTTTGGATGCATATTTATGTTAGACCTCATTGTCTCTTATTTGTAGTTCTGCATGCTGTTTTTAAGCTGCTTTTTGAAGCTTGCTTTTATGTATTTTGCATTCTATGCGAAACTGTGGCTAATTCTGTATGATGTTTTAATGCTTTTGCTTCATATGGACGCATGAGATCATTTACATTTGTTTCCTGCAGAAGAGACCGCAGATTCAGCTTATCGAAAGGCATTTTCCCAGGTAAATTCCTTTGTTATGCAATAATTATAAGTTACATGTTTTTTTTTCAATTTCCTATAAAGCACGGGATCTGCCTACTTAACCGTGAAGTGTAGGTACTTTGGTAACTGCTGATTATGCTACATTTATGCTAATTGAACAATAGCATTTTTTCAATCTCATTTCCAATAGTATTTCTAAGAGAATTGTTCTCACAGCTCTGTTTGAATATCACCAATTGTTTTTCAAAACAATTATGGTTGCTAGGACTAATTTTATTGGGGATTAAATATCTTGGATTTTCTTCCTTGACAGTATTATACCATTTTTCTGTGATTTATACATTATCTTTTCATGTTTTCTTTTACTCTTATTTTTCCCTTGGGTTGGTAACCTACCTTCTCACAATTTACTGTGAAATAGGAAAAACTCTTTTGAGAAATGTAGATTTTTTTAGATTTTCATGACCTATGATATGTTGTTCTTCCCGCTCCAAATAGTGATTATTTGATAATGTTAAATATGAAACCCTTAAACTTTCAAATTATTTTTGAAAAAAAAAAAAATTTGTACAGTTAGTCTGTACGAACCGTCTGTACGAACTGAGTAAAGTGCATGTTCGTCTGTACGAACTGAACATATTTTTTTGCCCGAGCCCATCGTCCTGGGACGAAAATTAAATATCGTCCGTACGAACATGATCTGAGGACTTGACAGAGCCGATCGTTTCATGACGAATGTAAAGTTTCATCCGGACGATCTTAAATATCTTTTTAAGAACGGATTGATTTGTTTTGAAGAGAGAAAGAGGAGAGAGAAAGAGGAGTGAGAAAGAGGAGGAAAGAGGAAGAAAAATCAAGTTTTGGCCATCTCCGGTCCGTTTTCGTTCGTCGCCATAGTTGGGAAAGTTGATCGACTCGAGGTAAGGCACATTGTGCCTTTCTCAATTTTCAGAAATGTGAGTTTTGACAGATTTTTTGATTAAAGTTTTGTTTCCGTTAGCGAAAAACGGGTATAACTTTGCACCGGTAACATTTTTACCGCGTAACTTTTGATATGTCATAGATATTATGATTTTGCATGTTTTGAACATTTTCTAGAAATTTTGTACCGGGTATTTTAAAATCTGCAGGATTTTTATCAAATAGAAAATTATCTGGATATCGAAAAATATTGCTTCAGCAGTCAGTGGCGGAGCCAGAAATTTTATTTAGGGGGGGCCTAAATTAAAATAGTTATATTTGTTGTCTCATTATCAGTGTCAAGAGTAGCTATAAGATTGAAATTAATAATGCAAATAACATGACCCTTGAGCTTAGAAGACATAAATATCCGTCACGGGTAGGGGTGCAACCGAGTCAAGCCGGATCACGAGCTGGCTCGGGCTCGACGAGTCGAGTTTAACGAGCTTCGCCGCAAGAGCGGAAGAGAGCTTCGCCGCAAGAGCTGAAGCGAGCTTTGCAGCAAGAGCGGAAGAGGGCTTCGCCGCGAAAGGGGGTCTCCACAGTGGGCTTCGCCACGAGAGCAGGTTGCGGCAGCGGGCTTTGCCACGAGAGCGAGAGCAGTGAGATTCGCCACGAGAGCGGGAGTGGGCTTCGTCGCAAGAGCGGAATCGGGATTCGCCGCGAAAGGGGGTCTCGATAGTGGGCTTCGCCACAAGAGCAGGTCGCGGCAGCGGGCTTCGCCGTGAGAGTGAGAGAAGGAGTGAGATTCGCGGCAAGAGCGGGAGCAGGCTTCGCCGCGAGAGCGAGAGGTAGCTTCGCCATAAGAGCGGAAGTGGGCTTCGTCGCGAGAGCAGGTCGCGGCAGCGTGCTTCGCCGAAAGAGCGAGTGCAGGAGTGGGATTCTCGATTTTCTGATTAAAATTTTGTTTCCGTTAGCGAAAAACGGGTATAACTTTGCACCGGTAACATTTTTACCGCGTAACTTTTGATATGTCATAGATATTATGATTTTGCATGTTTTGAACATTTTCTGGAAATTTTGTACCGGGTATTTTAAAATATGCGGGATTTTTATCAAATAGAAAATTATCTGGATATCAAAAAATATTGCTTCAGCAGTACAATAAAGCTTTGAAATGTTGTTTTATACAATATCTGATAATTTGATAATTTTCTGAAGTTGTGCATTTTTTATTCATTTGTTTTCTGTTGTCTGTCGCTATACGAAAAATGTGAAATTTTGATATATGCTCAATTACTCCGTATTTGTTATGATGTGATGTTTTGATGTGCATATATGATTGAATGATATCTGTTGGGAGTTATAAGGGGCCTGAATCTTTTGAGATTCTGTCTGTCATGGAATAAAAGGAGGCATAAGAAGCCATAATCATTTGAGATTGTGTCTGGGTATGGAAAATGAATTCTGATATGATAATTATGTATATCTGATATATTCTGGTGTTGTAAGCACAAAGGGAGGCATAAGGGGCCAGAATCCTTTCAGATTTTGTCTGTGTCAGGAAAGGGATGCATAAGGGGTCAAATCCTTTGATATTCTGTCTGGGTCAGAGATATGTGATTTGAAATGTGATTTGAAATCTTATTTGAAATATGATCTGAAATGTGATTTGAACATTTCTGTTATATGAATTTGGTTCAATTCTTTTGTATATGTTATTTGATTCCGTCTGATTATTTGATTTCTGTATGATATTCTGAATTCTGTCTGATTATATGATTTCTGTGAGAATATCTGAATTCTGTTTGATTCTATGAATTATGTACGAATATCTGAATTAAAGAATGGTTTGTCATGTATTCTGTCTTGAGATTTCAGTTCAGTGATTATTTGATTTAAAATGAATTATTTTTAAAGCTTATGTGAAGTATTTTGGAATTAGAGTGTCTGAGAATTTAGATCGGCTAGTGTGATCTTATTGAGCTGTTAGCTCACCGTGATTATCTTCATGGTTTTCAGGATCTGGGAAGGGGAAGGAAGTTTTGGACTAGCCGCTCAGATTCTGATTTGAAGTGATAGGTATTTTGTACTTTTGATTTTTGTACAGTTATGGCTAATTTACTTTTCTGTTATGTACCTTCTGTCTGTAGCCATGTACTGTAATGTATATGATTATTTTGATAAAAATATAGGAAGAGAAAAAAATTATGGATGAGTTTCTGTATATTTTGAAGTTTGTAGTAGCTTTGTGTTTCTGTTTTTCTTTGTGTATTGGAATAAAATCTGAAAACAAATTCCAAAGTTAGATCCTGGGGTTCGCCGTTGAAACTCAACACGATAGGATCCGTCCTGGTCGGGTTGGATTGTGACATTAAATCCTAGCCATCTCTTGGCATTTTTATCCCACAGTTAGGATGAGAATCTGTGGGGGGCTCACCTATTAAATCCTAGTTGTCCCATGGCATTTTGATCCCACGGCTAAGATGAGAATCCATGAGAGGCTTACCTGCATCACGCTGATTTCCTTCCATATTTAGATGGGTGATTTAGGAATGATTATATTAGAGCAATTATGCATTATTCTATAATTATTTGTTTTTTTATTAAGATATCTTGTATAAATCTATATATAGGGATAAGTTTGTGCAATAAAATTAAGTATTTTCCCTCTCCAATTCTCTAAATTTAACAAGGGATCAGAGACTTCATTGTCGTTGACGGAATTTTGAATTTTTTATACTATCGTGTCTTCATTGTCGGCCTTCCCTTTTTGTTGTTTTCCTATCTATAATCAACATAGCCTTTATTGCTACCCTACTTGATATAGCCTTCATCGCTGCCATTTGTCGTCGCAATGTCTGAAGCAAATTCCTTCCAAAGCTTTGACCAAATGGAGGACTCTATGGTGCACCAAGGAAGAGATCTCCAAAATATGCAATCTTCCTATAGGAAACCAAAACTCAGATCATAAAGTCCTCACAAAATGAGGGCGAAATCTCTGGGTAGTGTCTTATTTCAAACCCAATCTGCCTTCTGAAAATTTATCTCGTAACTTAATTTGTTAAAACTCCCCTGAAAGAGGGGAGATCGGGGAGCGAATTTTCGAAGCCCACAAGATTGAGGGTGTTTTTATAGATTCTTAAGAATGACATGCCCCATATATATGAAGAATATTTAGAACGCTTCATCATACGGTCTGTGTTATTCCCTTGATCATAGAGTGTTTGTTTAACATTTAAGTGTTTTAATGTTGTCAAATTAAGTGATATTGGGCTTGTTGGATTCGTCTCGTTGAAATGTTTGATTTAATTATAAGCATACCAAATTTGGAAATCATTTTGTCATCCAATTAATATTTCAAAATTTTCAATTATGCTTCATCCTCTTTATTTGGACACAAATCGAATAATTTATAGTGGTGTTGGATTTGTCTTGTCAAGCTGATTGGTTTGATTATAAGTTTGTTGAAATTAGAGTTTAAATGATCCTAAATATAATTCTAGAAGCTTCTAATTCAAATGTGCATCAAGATTCATGCTTGATAAATCGATTTTTGATGACATTTTTGTTACTCTATGTTGTCAAAGCATGCATCGTCTGAAAACATGTTGAATTCATAGTATAACTTTTACCATACGAAGAAGCATGCGTTAGGTAGAGCCTCTGAAAGGCATCTAATACATGCTATTGCTTTTGTGTTTTTCTTCTTGAAAATTTTATGGTATATAATTATAATCTCGAAAAATCATGAGGCACAATCTTTTCTTGGACATCAACGTGAACCCCTCCACTGGAGCCATGAAGCAATTAAAATCTCCTTAATTATAATTTCAACTTTCATGAAGTTGGCATGCAATTGTAGTAAAAATTGTCAAGAAATTTTGCTCCAAAATTTTCTAAATTGCTTGATATTAACTCTAAACGTTGAAAAGTGATTTTGGGGACCCGAAAATGTTTGAAATGTGATGCCTTGGTCGATAAATGAGCCTGAATGTGATTTGACAATTGAACTGGCTGGCCGGTCGTCTACGTGCAGTGCACAAGCTTTGCGAGTGTGCATAGAAAAAATATATTTTTTATTTTAATATTTTATCTTTATTTTGTGGGGGAGGTTCTACCCCAACCACTAAATGAGGGATGACAAGCCCCTTTTAAGAATTTCTTTTCTTAATTTATGTTTTTCCTTTTTAATTTATTAAAAATTCAATTTCGCCTTAAAAATTTCTTACAAATTTCTAAAAAAAATTAGAAAAAATTTTCAACTTGTATCTATAATATCCCTCTTTGGGCTAGGGGAGAGATGTGATTCGTCTTTCGCAGGCTCCAGTTCTCTCCTCAAAAGGCAGGAAAAACTGTTCGATACGAGTTAAAAAATTGTTGGAGGCAATTAAGGTTTGGTCAATTTTCTTTTGATTTAAAGATGTGGTAATAGAAGGAATCTATTTGGCTTTAAGGCTAATAAGGTTAGGTTTCGAGGTAGAGTTTTTTTTTTTTTTTATAATAGATATTTTTTTGGAATTTGGTGGTGGTGTGGAGCGAGTAACCGGAAGAGATGCATATGTATAGATAGGTTTTAAGCATAATTGCTTTCGAAAAATTTAGTTTTGATTACCAGAATGTAAAAAGTAGCTATGCTTTATGCCAATTGATAATGAATTTAAAGCCCCTCTTTGTCTTCACTTTGAAAATTCCTTTTATTTATTTCTCAAGATGTGAGAGACTTGAAGAGAGGAGTTTGACGGAGGAAAGGGGCGGAGACAAAGGGTTCTTGCAGCAAACCATGAATATTTCTCGGAGATTGAACCTTTTTGGTGATGGGAGAGAATTCTCTCATTGAATCCTGTTGAGGGGAATTCAGCAAATTTGGTACGTTTGGAAAGAATCGGTTAGGCGAGAGGAACTGGAAGTGGAAATCTCATTGTAGAGAGTAGAAGAAGGAATCTTTCAAATGTCATTGATAATTAATTTTCAAACTAACATGAATCCCTTCAAATAAGGTTTACAAATTTAATTTCAAATTTAAAACTTATATCTAGACAAGTCTTAAATCAAAATAAAGATAATTTTAAAACTAAAAAGATCTGAAAAAAACCCCAAATGATATAATACTCTAGAATAATTTATAATTATTTTTGATGTATGTGTTGCACTGCATCATTGTTGTACTACTATTGAATTCATCTTATTTTGGCAGCAAGACAAGGAGACATTTGAGAAGCAATTACATGATTTGGCGGTGATGGTTGAGAGGCTTGAAAGTAGCCGTCAGAAGTTGCTCACGGAGGTATCTAATCACGTTTTTTCCAATTTAATGGTGCGCAAGATAGGTTTTCTGTATGATTTCTAACACTCTCTGCAAATTTATGGTAGATCGACTCGCAATCTTCTGAGATAGAAAGGCTATTTGAGGAAAACTCCAATTTGTCAGCTTCTCACCAAGATGCATTGGGGCTTGCTATGCATTGGGAAAACCAGGTACCCCTTATAAGTTATAACCTTCCTCCAGGCATTTATGTTCTTAAGCCCATAGAATATTATTTTTCCTTTGGGAAGTGATATTCTGATGCAGGATATATGTGAAAATTTGATTTAGATAAGGAATTTGCACGCTTAATGAGTAGGAGCGAATTAATTAAAGCTTTGTGATGACTCAAACAAAGAAATAAAACCAAAGAACGGTAAAAACAAGCTTAGGCCAAGTTACTTGTAAAAAATAAAAACTACATAACAATCAATTACTCTTGACATTGAAAACGAAATGGGTTTCTACAAGAAATCCCTAATATAAGTATATAACAATAAGAGTAGTGCTATGCAAGATCTCTCACACAACTCCTAATAAATACTAGGCTTTAGCGGGAAGAATCAACAAAACTTTTCATGAGTCAATTAATAACTACAATTGAGACTAAAAGATAAAATAGGAGGAAGAGTTTACCCAAAGAAATAGGAATTACAAAGTTCTGGTATGATTGTTTGAATGTATGAGCAAGTGTGGTCAGCAACTCTAACTCCCTAGTGGCATTTGGACAGTATTCTAGCAGTTTCTGGGTGGAGGGCAGCCAACTAGCATAGGCTGGAATCTGTAGACAGCAACCTGTAGGCTCAGGACAGCATTTATCAAGGCTCTTATCCCTGGGATAGCATATGGAACCAATCCAGGAATCTGGACAGCACCAGGGATTTCCCCTAATGGATGCATGAGACCGTGAAGGAGGAGGAGGAGGAGAATTATGTGGACAACTTCTATAAAATGTTGTGAGTTCTGGACAGCAGTCTATGGCCTTCAGGGGTGCAGGACAGCAAGTCAAACTTGCTGGAATACGTGGACAGCAGCAGAAATCTCAGGGAAAAAAGGAAGTAACGTGGGAGAGGGCTTGTGAGGGGGCGGCTACTTAGGTTGGGATTGGATGGGGAAGTAATAGGAGTAATTATTGGGGTTAATTGAATTGGAGAGAGGTGGTGGGCCGGCCATGCATGGGGGAATTGATTGGGGATTTGAAACTCTTTCCAAACATAAGATGTTAATTAAGGAAAGAGTATTAAGAGAGGATCTCTCATTATTTCAGATTTGTGGAGATTTGGAAAGTGTCTAAATTAGATTAATCTTATTTTAGGAAAGGATTCTAATTCAAATAAATTAGAATTTGAAATTTGAAATATTTCCAAATTTAAGAGGATCTAAATTAGGTAGGTCTTCAATTCTCTCCCTAGAGGAGATTTGGAAAGAAAGGAAGGAAGGGCAAGTAGGGCCGGCGACATTCTTGGAGTAGGGATTGATTGGAGGGCTTTCCTTGAGTGATCTCGGCTAAAATTAGGAAGAATTAATGGGCAAAATATTCCTCTTAATTTTAATTTAAAATTAGATTCAAGAATTGAATACTTTCCTAATATAGATTATGTCGATTTAGGAAAGAATTCAAAATCTGAATTTGTAATCCGATTTTGAGTTGGATTTCCCTCCTAATCTTCATGCTCTATTTTGGAAAGAGAAAAAATAATCGATTTTGGATCCATGGGATGGGAAGGCCGGAGGCTAGGGTTTGGGATTTGGGTGGCTTTAGGCTAGAGAGGGAAGGGGTGTGGGTTAAATGGAGTTGACTTGGTGTTTGGGGTGGAGAGATGATTGATCGGTGGCTTGGAATGGAGAATGGGGTGAAGGCCGGTGGTGGGGGAGGGGAGGGAGCTAAGGCCGGTGGCTTGAAGAAGAGAAGAAGGGGAAAACTAAAAGAAAATTGATAGAATGGACCCGGACACTTCCAAGGTTGGTGGGTGATCTGTTGCCCTTCACCAAGGGACTTCTCCAAAGCTCTCTCCAAGAACTCTCAAACTTTCTCAAAACACATAAGTGCAGAAATTTTCATCATATTTCATTCATTAACCCTCCAAGAAGAAGAGGGTGGCTTTAAATAGCCAAATACATAAAGGGAAATAACAAAGACACTATTACCCCTAGGGCATATATAAGACAAAGCCCTCAAGTGAGGGTAGAAAGGGAAAAAAGAACAATAACAAATCAAATGCATAAAATAGATCAAAATAAATAGGCAAGATCGTAGCCGTAGATCTATGATGTCCTCATCATATTCTTTACTAGCCTTTTGTAAAACCTAATAATCTGATTAACTGCTTTACCACCGCTTCTTTTTCCTGTGAATGCTGGTGCAATTATGAATGTGCCTACATGAACTTTGAATTTGCTCTGGAAACAATTTTTATTTTCACCTTGTTTCAGCCTCGACATCTGACTTTTTTTTTCTGTTGTAGACAAACTAGTAAACAGTTAACATACTACTTGTGCTTGGTCTTCAGAAATTATTTTGTATACAGCGTATTTAACGAAGTTTAATACTTCAATATGAAGTTAGTGAATATTAACGTCATACCTATTTTATTGCCTGCCAATGCACACAATTTATCATCTTCTATTAAGTTTTTGATTGAATGGTAATTTAAATTGTTTAATCTTCTTCTTTGTCATACCTACATCAGAACTTATTTATAAAGCATATTTCACTATGTTTTAACACTGCAGATTCTATGAATGATATACTACCTTACGTCAGTTGAATTAAGGAGCAATCTTTGATCATGTATTTCAAAAAAGAAGTAAATATGTCAGCTTCCATACTTTGTTTCTTACTGAAGATGATAAGTTCTAGTGATTGGATAAGAATTATATAGTACTTTTTTGCTTTTGAACTTTTCCAAATAGATGGATTGGTTTGTTTTATCTGCCTATGGGTCTTCTTGGGTTTAAGTTACGTTCTATTTATCTTCAAAGCATACACATTTAATTGAAATATAGGTTAAAGACTGTTTGAAGCAGAATGAAGAGCTTCGCCTTCTTCTTGATAAACTCAGATCTGAGCAAATCCAAAGAGGTAACAGTGCTCCATTTCATACTGAACCCGGGAGAAGTATTTCAGATATTTCTATTCCTCATGAACAAGTCACTGAAAGCCCACTTCTTAAGGTCTGTTTTAAAACAATTTTTTTCCAGACTCATTAATGTGTACATGAATAGTTTTTGTTATATTTCCTTTTAATTAGTAGATGCTATATCATTTTTTTCTTTTGGGGGAAATCTTACACATGGAGAAGTTTATATGTTTTTCATTTTAATGATGATGGAAAATTCACTGGTAATTGCCTGAAGCATCTAGTCTCCATCGACGTATTGCAGTTGAACATCAATTGGTTTATATTATGTAAGGCATAACTTGTGACAAACCATTCTCGATAATATCATCTTTGAATTAATCTATCATGTATTATTGTGTAAGAAAAGCATTATGCTTCTGAAGTATCTATTCCATTTTGATGAACCAGTCACGCCACTTAGGCTTCGTTTTGACACTGCTTTTTTACTGCTTCTTAAAGCTGTTTTCTAATACAATAATTTTAATTTTTATATTAGAAAGTTGCTTTAAGAAGCAATAAGAAAGTGGTCCCAAACGAAACCTTAATCTTCATATTTGTATTTATCTCCCGACTATGATTTCTAAGCTTTTGATTTAATAATTGTGAGAAGTTTTAAATTGTGTTTACTGTATGACATTATTAATCAGTTCCCTTATAAATTAACTTTATTATTTGTTTTAAAGGACCTGCTTGCTAAAGAACAAAGTAGAGCTGAGGCACTATCAGCTGAGGTAATGAAGCTGTCAGCTGAACTCAAACATGCAGCCCAAGCATACAATAATCTCACTCGCCTGTAATTCTCTCTTTCATATCGCTTGCTTCCACCCATCCATATGCAGATTCTTCTCTTGCTTTCAGCCCAATAATTTATTTATTTATTTTCTTGATATGCAGATATCGGCCTGTGCTCCGCAACATTGAGAATAACCTTATGAAAATGAAACAGGAGAGTTTTGTGACTATTCAGTGATATTTTCCATGTAGCTTCTGAAATCAATTCTCAGTTCAAAGTACCTGAAATCAATAAGCCAACCTGAAACTTAGTTGCTTACGGAATTCATAATGGCAAAGCTTGAGAACTCGCGGAATGTATTTTCATAGCATGAAAAAGTGATCCTCGTCTGAATAACAATGATTTTTTTTGTATGTTTAGCCGATCTCGTGAGAATTCCTCAACCCCAACTTCTCTGCATGAATTTTAGATAGCTAATATTGGAGGTAGAGGTCATGGCCTTTGGATTAATTATTCTGCGCGGATGTGTGGATGACTTTCATCCCTACTCTGTGGGTGGGTCTTGCAATCAAGCTCCCTTATGCCCTTGCACTCGTGGGCCAATCTACATCTGGCCCAAGGAAACCTCTGTGTGCCTCCGTTATTTTTTGGGAGGCCTACACCCCATAGAAACTGTCTACCTAAAACTGGCCCTTGGCCCTACGAGCATCATCCGAATACCAATCAGAATGAGTCACGTCACTCATTTGCTCAGGTATTGCTCGATACTGTTGAAGAAGTGGTGCATTTTGATTGTTCTCCAGATTATTATAATCTGCGTCCAACCTCCGCGCGGAATAATTTATGTCCTTTGTGAGTAGATTATTTACTCTATACTGCACAATTAAATTGTTTAATGAAAACTGGATAGGAACGCCAACGAATACTCGTAAAATATTCCTTTTACTTAAAAAGGCATTACAGTGGATAAGGCTTTGGCTTCAACTACACGTCAGCCAAGCCCCCACTACTCAACCACCGGGGCTAATCCCCGCGTCTCCAAAAAAAAAAAAACAAAAAGAGAAAAAAATCTCAAGTATCAGTGGACCAGATCGCCGGTCCGTAGACGGCGGCCCGGCCGTCGTTCTGCACAACCAGCACATAGAATCCGTCGGCTTCCGCTGCCTTGCTCGCCCACACAACCTTGAACCGGTCGTCGACGACTGCGAGCTGGCCGCGGTGGTCGAGTCTCACGAAGCAATTCCTACCTTTTCCCTTCGTACCGCTCTCCCAAACGACCCCTTCCGACTCCTTAACGAGCTCCAATCCACAGTCATCCTTCATAGCCAACGCGTGCTCTCCGCTCGCCAGCTTCGAATTATCACATAGAACTTGCGATGAGAACATGTGGTTACGAGCATTGGGAGAGGGAGAGTGCTTTGCCAGCTCGGCGGCGCCGGCCGAGCTGCGGTAGGGTGTTGACCAGACTGATGGGCCGTAGATGGCGACGTGGCCGTCGGAGCGAAGAAGGGCGGCGTAGCTGCCGGATTTGGTGGGTGGCGAGGAAGACCAGATGGTGGAGCCGTTGGGAGCTTGGATGAGGAGTTGGCCGCGGTGGGTGAGGGTGAGCGTGCAGTTATTAGTGCGGAGATTGCCTGTGTTGGATTGGAAGCGGAGGGTGGGGTTGTAGAGAGCGAGGTTGCAGTCGTTGTGGATTCTGAAGGCGGCGTTTGGGGTGAAGAGTTGGGTGTTGGTGGGGAGGGTTTCGCCGGTGAGGAGGATATTGGTGGCGGCGGTGGAGGAAGGAGAGGGGAGGAGGAGGAGGAAGAAGAGGAGTGGAATGATGCGGAAGACCATTCTTTGTTGCTCTGTGTTAGAGATTGGTTGTAGTGATGTGGAGAATCGGGAATGAATGAGGGGGTCCGACTTTTAATAATAAGGAATGCCTTATCTTCTTGTTGATAAGATCTGTTTTGTGTAGGCCCACACAGCCTTAACGCGGCCGCTAAGAGCTAAAAGAAAAGGACCTATGGATTTGTCCGAAGCAAAAAAACCCCTAAATCATAACATTTAATTAAAGGATATCTTTAGCTCGGTTTGTCGACGTGCTCGGATGGGAACCCCTTATCCTGAGTTGGATTTCCTCGAGCTGCAGCGCCCCTTTGGTGGGGGCTCCAAAGCATCGGCTGCGGGTAAAGCGGTGTGGCTGACCCGGTAGGTCAGTTGGGGTTTACGGATCGTCAAGCGCATTTGGTTTTAGCCAGATGTGGCAGCAGATGGTTCCTCGACATAAAAATAAATCATAAATCATAAATCATAAGAACTAAAACTCAAGCTTTTAGAAATTGAATATGATTGTCAATAGCAAAAATCAGGTTGTCTTTTTGGATCGAAGTATTTCACCATTTCTTTTATTAGTCTTTTGTTTTATTAGAATTTGAAATAATGATAGTTTTTAGAAGATTCTTCAGATTTTATAGAATGGACCTCCAATAGAACTTTTTTGCAAGGTTACCTTCAGATTATCAATCAAAAAATTATATTTACATATTTGAAAGCCTTAGAACTTTAGTTTCAAATGTAATTTTATATTTGAAATTAGTGTTTTAAGGCTTTCAAATGTGTAAATGTAGCATTCTGATGAATAATTTATATAGAATGTTTCATCAATTTTATGATTTGCAGTAATCATAATATTTGAATTAATCTGTCCAATGACATAAATAAGTGGTGAGAAAAAGTCTTTAAATGAAAGCTGAAAGCCTGCATCTTGGTAGTTACTGTGGCATTCTAATGGATAATTTGAAATCAACCTTGCAAATGAGTTTTATTGGAGGTCGATATTGTAAAATCTGTAGACAATCTTTTAAAAATCATCATTATTTCAAATTCTAATAAATTAACAGAAGTCTAAGAAATGAAATGGTCAAACCCTGCCATCCAAAAAGACAATCTAATTTTTGCTATTAGCGATCATATTCAATTTCTAAATGCTTTGAGTTTTTGTTGATTATAATTTATGATTTTGATCTGCTTTCCTTCATATCCTTCAATAAAATTTCTTCATATTTAATTAAGAGCTCAAATCATATTTAATTTTAGACAATTTTTTTACTGCTTTACTTTTCAGATCGCAACTACAATTTCTATTTGACCAATGTCTTTTTGCTGCTTTCAAAAGATTGTTGTACTAAAAAGCTGCTTTTTACAACACTTTAAAAAATTACTTTCTCTACAATAACTTAAAGAGTATGTTTTCCTAGTAAGTTATTGCCGAACCTGGAATCTTAACTTGATTTGGTTCGAGTTGAGGTCCTGGAATATTTTAGTATATATATACATATATTACTTTGTTCAATTTTTATAATAGAATATAGATTAATGTTCTCACAATAAATTAATGGTGAATCATTTTTCGTTTGGGACAGTTTTTTGTTGCTTCTTACAGCAATTTTTAGTAAAAAAAATTAAAATTTGTATACTAAAAAATTGCTTTAAGAAGCTATTAGAAACTTGTTCCAAATGAAGTCTCAAAATGATCTCTATTATAACAACTCACCTAAGTAGAGCAGCAGCTCTTCCTTACATTTCCAGTGGAATCAGCAACATTGATTGCTGTGCCTTGAATGGGAGAGGCCCAGCAGAGGCTGCTGCCTCTTGTGCAGCCAGAGCCTTCTTTCTCACAATGTGGTAAATCTCTGTGAGTATTTTCTGAAATGCTTTCTCAATGTTGAGTGCTTCCAATGCAGAGGTCTCCAGAAATGAGAGCCCTTCTTTCTCTGCCATTGCCTTCGCATCGTCGGTTGAAGTTGCTCTCAGATGGTTCAGATCAGACTTATTACTACCCACCATCATGACAACAATATTGGAGTCTGCATGATCTCTGAGTTCGCGAAGCCATCGCTCGACATTTTCGAAGGTTTGCCGCTTTGTGATATCGTAGACTAGAAGTGCTCCTACTGCGCCGCGATAGTAGGCGCTGGTGATGGCGCGATACCTCTCTGTGTCCCATATCTGAGCTTTAATTGTCTTCCCTTCCAACTGTTAAGAGCAACATAGTGCTTAAGTTACATATAAACATAATATCAAGTTGTTAGGCAATAAGGATATCAACTTTGGTAAGAATAAAGAGGAGAAATGGCGGTTCCCTCCAATAGTTAACATCATCTACTTCTGTTGTTTTTTTTTGGAAGTTAGGGGCTTCGAACGTGAGCCTCCCGGGAGGAAGTGATTCATGTCTACCGGACAAGCTGCATGCGCGAGCTCTCTACTTCTGTAGTAGTTGTTAGGCAATAAGGATATCAACTTTGGTAAGAATAAAGAGGAGAAATGGCGGTTCCCTCCAATAGTTAACATCATCTACTTCTGTTGTTTTTTTTTGGAAGTTAGGGGCTTCGAACGTGAGCCTCCCGGGAGGAAGTGATTCATGTCTACCGAATGAGCTGCATGCGAGAGCTCTCTACTTCTCTAGTTTACTCTACTAGTTGCGGAGTTATAGTATCACATCAATGGAACTACTTTCTAACATTTAGATTCACTATTCAATACAATAACAACAGAAGAAATAGTTGTTATTGTATTGAATAGTGAATCTAGTAAATATTAGAAAGTAGTTTCATTGATGTGAAATTATAACTCCGCAACTTGTAGACTGAACTCCGGCTCATTGTCCTCCTCTTAGATATTAAAAGAAACAAAATGATGAGCTTATATTTCGACATAGCAATTAGTGGCTACAATGTCTGTTTGAAAAGCAAAAAAATAATATTTTTAGCTGAGAATAAGAACAATGAATGTTCGACTATAGCGAACATCTGGAAGAAATTAGCTTAAAATGCAGTCGAATATATGTGTAAAATATTAAACTGATCGTCCAAGCTGAAAAGCAAATCAGGGAAAACTAATGCATTTCCCATTCCGGAGATCAAGTCCATAACAAAGCAAGTCATGAAATCATTTAATGCAAGCTACGTGTATGAATAACGTGTTTCTAGAGGCCGTACTTTGTTAATGAAAGAAATTCAAGGGTAACGTTGCCTATGCCAAGCCCTCACCACACTTAAGTTGGCAGGAGCCTTGTGCACAAGGTACACTATATCCTCTTCCACTATAGAAATTTCAATTTCATTAATGTTTTCATTGTTTTTACTTCTTTACAGTATCATCTTATCTATTTGTCACTCTTGTTCTTATATACAAATATGAAAATATCATCTTTGTTAAACTTATAATCTCTTATGTTAATCAATATTAGTAACTAATAATAACGTAACGAGCTTTTGGTTGAATAAATGACAAAAATATCCTAATCTGTCAAACTCGTCCTACATAAGATTATCTCATTCCCAACATTTCTGATTTTCTGATGGCATCACACATCATTTGCTCATGACTAAATGAATAATAAGGATTCATAAAGCTAATCTTAATAAGGATGATAATGATGATGAATGAATTTCTTATAATAGAATATAAAAATATGTGGCATGAAACATCTAACAAAAATACCAAATGAATTGTTATGGCATAAACCTTACTGCCAATGAATGAACTAAAAGTTTCCCTCTCTATCACTGCAATGATAAACAATACCTTACATAAAAACTAGATAGTGGTTTATTGTATATTAAATTCTGCATGTACCAAATTAAAAAACAAAAAATATTTCTTATCTAAATTTTTTTTTCAATTCATTTTGTTTCAAATCAAGCTACTAATTTCATGACTGAATTGCTAAATTATACAACCAATAAATCAAGCATTTAACCCTTTTTTTATCACAAATTTGATAAATTGGGTTCTCCACAGTCCTTCCAATTGATGATGCCTTGATAAATATATGCCTCTCACACTATTAAACGTACTAGAAAAAATCACTCCAATTTCTTGAAAGGGTGTATTAAAAAATGTTCAAACATAAAGTTTTACTTCATACTTTTCAGGAATGAGCTTCACAAGAAACCATTGCCTTTGGTTTGAAAAAAGTATCCATAACTCCATAAATAAGTCAAGAAAATGCCTCAAAATCAACAATTATTATAAAAATAGCCAGTACGCACATAAATCTACAGTGGAATTGACTGCAATCCTTGAAATATATCCAAATACAAGGTGAAGATCATGCTATTCAACAATGAAGTTGATACAAAAAATTACTATTTGAATCAAAATTCTGTTAATTAATAGATATTTTTTGTTGGTTCAAGCATGCCTTTCATTTGTTTCTGGGATAAAGCACAAAACTAATTACCTTTATGGAAAATATAGTTTACCTAATTACCTTCCACTGATAAGAGCATATTATGCATCTTTGAAAATTTCTATGACAGCAAACAAAGGAATCGATTGTCCAATTAGAGGAAATCTTTTTTTTTTTTTCATTCACAACTTTTCTCCCTAACAGCAAACAAACTATTGTCCCACTGATAATCACAAACTTCCTCAGTTCCATCCCATCTTCCATCACTTCTGAAATGCATATTATGTCAATCTGAATTTCATTGAGTTTCACAATCATTACGTAGCGAATCATGTTTAAGAGTTTTAGGTGTTAGTGATGTAGAGTAAGACTATGTTGTTGGAGATGGACGAAATCTGCCTTATCTTCACAAACTAACATCTCCACAGCTACCGGTCATTTTTTGATTTCTCAATGGAACACGGGTTATAGGCCGTAGGGCTACTGGTGTTAATATTCCTGCTAGTAAACCTTAGTCCTATCAGTTGTGCCTCCTCTATCATTGCTTTTTTCTTCATAGAGAATATTCAGAAAGTTCACTTCAACACCCCTAGCAACAAGCCTCCTAGTTCAAAAAATGTTCAACTTCATGTTTTTCAGGGTAGCCTGGCCTATGGGAAGAATAAGAGATTCATGCTGTCCAACACTTCTTCAATGATCCACCTTTGTCTGCTCCTAAACTCCTTCCACATGTCCATTCCTAGGGAGATTTTGGGCACTAATGCACCATAAAAGATTTATTTTTATAATATACCTATATTTTGAATTAGTTTTGAATTTATTTTAGTTTTATTACATTTAATTGTTTGAATTAACATAAGATAATATAATTTTAGGAATAAACAAAGTTTTTAGTTAAATTAGTTAATTTTATCTTGCAAATCTTATTCCTACAAATAGGAGTTGAGAATATATTATTTTGATTATTGAATGATGTATTTCACTTGAAAAGATTTCCTTCCATAATTCTCTCCCATCTCCTTCAATTTTGCTCATCCATCAATTTCTCTCTATTCAACGGGATTTCTCTCGTCCCAGTCTCACTTTCTCATTTCAATGTTTTTTCTACTCCATCCGATATTGTTATGATACATTGATGCAAGCACGCTAAGTGTCGTGCTAAGTAAAATAGGTTTCTACCTTTTCTTTCTTCTCTAAAACTCCCCTCTTCAATTCCCTGAAGGCTAAATCAAACATGCAGCAAAAGAAGGAAGAAGAAGATCAAGATGAAATCTTCATCAATGGTCCATCATCAAATTGAGATTAAATAAATTCTTGTTTCCTTCGGACTAACCTTCTTCAAAGCAAGAGGGTTGCATCTCTTGACTAGTATCTTCTTCCTTTTCCATTAAAGACATCTGCAAGTCATTACCCCGAAAGATTTGTAGGTGAAAATTTGCCAAATTTGAAATTTTTCGCATTGTGCTCTCTTGGATTAACAAAAGTTGTGGTTGTGGTGATGTTAATTTCTCGGTTCTGCTATTATGGTGAGGATTTGAACAAAGCTTTATATGGATGCTCAACTTCACATAGAAAAAGACTCAAAATTTCATAATTACTAAATTATGGTGATGTTCATGATGAAGATGATTTGATATGTTGATGCTCAACTTCACATAGAAAATAAGACTCAAAATTTCATAATTACTAAATTATGGTGATGTTCATGATGAAGATGATTTGATAAAAAGGATTTCAATATCATCAAACATAGAAATTATCTTAAAAACTCGTGCGAATTTTGATCCATGGCTTTCCAAATATGATTGTTAAAAAGGCCATAAATGCTTCTCACAACCTGGTTAAGAAACTCCAATAGCAAAATAAACAAGGCTAAGCCAACAAAGGACTTGATGCATGGCCCTTCGACAATATTAAAAGTGCAGAAACGACCATTATGTATTCATGTACTCATGTAACGGAAAGTGGTTGGAATCAATTGTCAGCAATGATTGCAGACTTTATCAACAATTATGGTCATAGAAGTAGTTCTATAATGGTTGCATGGTGTTGGACTGTCCACTGATAATCAACAAAAGAGTTGGTTGCCATTAATGATCGCTGAAGTTGTTTGCCACAGGTGCTTACCAAAATGTTTAGTAGAAGTGCTCACTGCATAGTTGGGCTAACGTAAGGCGCATGGCCATCGAACACCCCCTCGCTCTTTCCAACACTCGCCATTGGATGACTATCAAAAAGAACAGAAAAACAAAAAATAAATAAATACGGGAAAATTTTCGAACTAAGCAAGATTAACAATTAAACTATAAGAATAAGCATGTTAATTTAAAAATTTAAATGTAGGCAAAGTCGGGCCTTTGAACGGCGACTTAGGTGCGACCAGAATTCCACGTGGCAGCCGATGTGGCAGGCATTTTATTAAAGCCTAAGTCGCCCGTTAAACGGGCGACTTAGGCTTTAATAAAAAATCTGCCTTTCCCTTCCCGATTACTTCGTCTCCCTCATTCCCATTTCAGATCTGATCGCTGCTCCGCCGCCTCTTCGCCGGATTAGGTAATGTAGGGTTGTTTTATGCTTTTTTTTTGTTAAATAAGTTAAATATATGTTGATTATTGTGTATTTTGCTTAGAGAAGTAAAGATTAATGATTGTAGAAGTGGTTATGTTGTTTTTTTTGTAAATTTCTTTGTTTGT